GGTGAAAAATCAGAGCCCATAGACCAAGATCCAAAGAGCTATTTATGGACTTGGGCACACACCGTGACAATTTTGAATGAAGGTCCTCATGCCGTATCACAAATTCCTTTTGCGTCTGTTTCAAAAAAAAAAGAAGAAGAAAAAAGATTGATTGTGCAGCACAGAGAAGTAAAACATTTGATAAACACAATGTGTTCTGTTCTCACAATCCATACACCTGGCTGAGGGTAGTTCATTAAATACTTCAAGGCACATCATTATGCTACAGACAATACAATTCATGTCTCTAAGAAACTGTGTTTGGACAAAGATTATTTGGAGTTAAGGTGAGGGCAATGGTATAGCTTTATTTCCAGTAATAACAGTAAGAATTCCAGCGTAACTCGACAGCACCCCACATTAAGCCACTACAGGTCCTCTTCAGTGGTGTCTCTTAAGCCAGGAGCACACATGCTCCATGTTGTTGTTGTTTAGTCATTTAGTCGTTTCCGACTCTTTGTGACCCCAGGGACCAGAGCATGCCAGGCACTCCTGTCTTCCACTGCCTCCCGCAGTTTGATCAAACTCATGCTGGTAGCTTCGAGAACACTATCCAACCATCCCGTCCTCTGTTGTCCCCTTCTCCTTGTGCCCTCCATCTTTCCCAACATCAGGGTCATTTCCAGGGAGTCTTCTCTTCTCATGAGGTGACATTTCCCATCTGGATCTAATATCACTTTGAGCTTTTTGAGAGAGCTACAGAGTTTGGAAGCAACTGTTTTTAAAGGCAAAGAAGGACTGAGATCTCTGGGAAGTTACAGAAAGATGAGGGAATCTCAGTACACAAAGCATAAAAGATTACAAAATCATTGTGTGTTACAAAAGTGGGTGTGTGGAAAGAGATGAGTTTGAAAGCTTTTGGCCTTGTACATTTGGATAATTCAGATTCAACATTTGTAAGTGAAGTGCTGCTATACTCAAAGGATCTCAGCTTACAGCTGCAAAACACTTCCCCCACCCCAAAGTGTGTGTAGGAGGTTCTGTAGCTCTTCTCTCCTCATAATCCAGCTTGCTACACTTCTGGTCCGACAAACCTTTCTCACAGTTTGTTTTCTGGGAACAAATTGTCCTCAGCACAAACTTAGCTATCATCTTACACATATCTGCCATGCACATGAGAAGCTACCTAAACCTCCCCACAGACCACTGTAAAAACGTTCTCAGGTTTGGAGGAAAAGAGATGTTGGTGATGATTAATTGCATCTACACCCACCTTCTTTTCCAAGGGGTTCAAGGTGGCATACATGGTTATTTTACACACACACACACACACACTTTAAAATATATTATTCCTTTCTACAACAAACTGTTGCTCATCACAAGTAAATGTGCTTAGCATCTGGGCAGCAGAGGCAAACTCCATTTTATTCTTGTAGGTCATGATGCTGCTATGATTTAAGCAAGCTTAAAATCTCAAACTGCACATACTCAAGAGTATTTCTCTTCCATTTCAAAACTTGGCAGACTGTTCTTGCTGGTTTTTTGTTTTTCGTTTAGCTTAGTATAACAGGAATGTAGAAACAGCTGTAAAGCAGCTGGGGTGATGGTGGGGGAAAGAAGAGATATTTCAATTGTGTCCTTCACAACAAATGTGATGCATACAACCATCTAAAGGCTCCATAAAATCATTAAGTCCAGGGTCTAAAATGGTCTAACTGCAGCATTAGGGACATGGGAAACGTGGGGTTTAAGTATCTTCCTTAATACTGTTTACTGGAACGTGTTAATCATTAAAATATACCAATCTGGTGGCAAAGTTTCACATCCAGCAGATATAAAACTAAGATTGCCAGCCTTACAGATGACCTCTGTGATTGTGCTTTTACCAGCAACTGGATGTGCAGATACTACAAGGCAGCAGTGGGCTGGGTGGGGTTCTATGCCTGCCTTCCAAACACCAAGTGTTGCTTCCACTTACTAAGAGATTTAATAAGGATTTGGTTAATCAAAGCAGCCAAAGTTCCTGTGCCTGAACTGACTAGCAAGTCATATTTTTTAAAGCGATATTACAGCATAACTCTCAGAACAAGGACACTGGAAACAAAACAGGGAAATAGCGTTAGAGAGAAGGTCGCTGAACATGCTCTGCTCTCATCCCTCAGCCCCGTGGGGATAAAGCACTTTCACACTGCCTTGTAAAATTCCTGCAAGAACTCCGGCTCCTGGCTGCAGCACAGGCCATTTCCCCTCCGTAACGACCCAGCGTTCTCTTGCATTGCAAGAGAAGATTAGAAGTTATCATTCTTGGAAGCTTAACAAATTTAAATAGAACAAGAATTCATTTTCAAATCTAAGCCTGGGAACACTTACAGATAATTAATGAGCTATAGCAAACATAAGGAAAATATTAATTATATCTGTCTACTGTGTTCTATGAAGGAGGTGATTTAATTTGGAGACATTCTCGGCTTTCATTTCAAGTCTTACATATTTCTAGACCCAATTGCTACAGCAGGAAAGCACCTCGTTTTATTCCCTGTGGCCTTATATCCAGGTGCGACTAAACCAAGCACTTCCCTAAGCGATTTCCAAGGGGAATCAGCATCATTTATTTCAAGTTCTTCATTCTAAGAGGCATCCATCTATAGCTATAGCTATATGAAAAATATTCATGGAGGACTCAGAAAGCTTTTTATGCACAATTAGGCCCTCCCCCAAGGAAGGGTTAAAGGATTGTGCCTAGGACACACGTAGAGAACCTGCGGCCCTCCAGATATTGTTGGAATCCAACTCCCATCAGCTCCAGAAAGCATGGCCAAGGGTGAGGGATGACGGGAGTTGGAGCCCAGCAACATCTGAAGGGTTATGGGTTGCCAATATTCCATTGCCCCTGCCCCATTTATAGCAGCCTGGTGCGCAGAAATTTAGTGACACTTTTTGTCTCTATCTCTGTGCCAGGAAAAGCTGTACCTGCTTAATCTCTGCATGCTAACCTGTTAAAGGGTACTGTAATAAGAATTTTAAGGTCTTAGATATATAATAAATGTCCATAAATGTATCAAGCAAACACGTACATAAATATATAAACCACATGTCTGAAGCAGCACAGGAAGACAGTCCTGAAACCATTTTGACTCCCAAGCTGACCAAATGTTTCTCTGCAAGGAGGGAGGAGGTAAAAAACCCCACCTTCCTTGGTACAGGAATTTAGTAATCACCATTTCAAAGGGTGACAGACTACCAGGAAAAGACTACCAGGAGAGACAATCACATAAGGCATTATCGGATAACCTGGCAGACAGGAAAAACAACAACATTCAAATTTCTGTTGTAGACCACCTTTTCTGTGATGTAGGTATGATGTTTGTGGGGGGTGGTCTTAGGTTACACCCCTTCTGTGATGTATGTATGATGTATGGAGGGGTGGTCTTGAGCTCCAGGGCAGGGAATTTAAAATGTCTATACAAGGGCAGGCACACCTTGGTTCTGGATCCTCCTCCTTTCCTGCGTGTGAGGGGAGCACCCTGTTACAACAGATCAGGCTTACTAGCTGCTTTGCTTCTCAATATTCTCTGGTTGGCCTCTGTTATTTTCTCCTATCAATAGGGAACCCACGTAAGGACTCTATATGGGCTCTTGGATACCCCATAAGGGAAAAAGGGAAGATTTTTATTGTTTACAACACTACTTAAGAAGTAGCAGGGCTACTAAATAAATGACCCCTATAGCTGCACTCTGCTAAGGACTGCACCTCAGGAAAACAGAAACAAAGGAAGCTGCCTTATACTATGTCAGATCATTGGTCCGCCTAGCTCCATATTGTCTGCACTGACTGGCAGCTGCTCCTTTGGGTTTCAGACAGGAGCCTTTTCTCAGCCCTGTTCAGTATAATTGTTCAATTGACACTGAAATGCATAATGCCTAAGCATTGCTAACATTGGGGTTTTTCGATGGCACCATATTGAGAGCTCTCTGAGCTCTAACGAGTTGATAATTAACTGTGAACGTTATCTGCTCTGATACTGAATGTTTGAACATGTGATGAAGATGTTGAATTGGAAATTCACCATCTTGGAAAGGTGGTGGCTGGAGCCTTTTGTTCCCAGCCAGAATGAGAGTAATATGTCTCTCCAGGAGCTGCATAACCTTGGGGCTGGGATGCAGGCCAATGGAGCCAGAGAGAGAGAGAGAGAGAGAGAGAGAGAGAGAGAGAGAGAGAGAGAGAGAGTGCTATGTTCATCAGCTCAGATTTTGTTGTTGTTGTTGTTTAGTCGTTTAGTCGTATCCGACTCTTTGTGACCCCATGGACCAGAGCACGCCAGGCACTCCTGTCTTCCACTGCCTCCTGCAGTTTGGTCAGACTCATGTTTGTAGCTTCGAGAACACCATCCAACCATCTCATCCTCTGTCGTCCCCTTCTCCTTGTGCCCTCAATCTTTCCCAACATCAGGGTCTTTTCCAGGGAGTCTTCTCTTCTCATGAGGTGGCCAAAGTATTGGAGCCTCAGCTTCACAATCTGTCCTTCCAGTGAGCACTCAGGGCTGATTTCCTTCAGAATGGATAAGTTTGATCTTCTTGCAGTCCATGGGACTCTCAAGAGTCTCCTCCAGACCATAATTCAAAAGCATCAGTTCTTTGGCAATCAGCCTTCTTTATGGTCTTGCTCTCACTTCCATACATCACTACTGGGAAAACCATGGCCTTAACTATACGGACCTTTGTTGGCAAGGTGATGTCTCTGCTTTTTAAGATGCTGTCTAGGTTTGTCATTGCTTTTCTCTCAGCTCAGATTAGAAGTTATTTTATTTCTTGTAAGGTGCTGAGCCTGTGCTGGACATGCACAAGATATTGTATGGAATTATTAGGACGTATCTTTGATGTGTTTGTTCTATCTTGAAGAAAGTTCTGCAAGTAAAGCTTGGATTATATCTAATGGGTCTGGGCAATGTTTTATTAAAAAGGAGTCCCATTCTTATGCATCCAGTTGCTTCAATATTAATATTTGCAATAAGTCTACCTGGAGGTGTTATCGGGGATTGAACCTGGGACCTTCTACATGCAAAGCAGATGCTCTCCCACTGAGCTGCCCCATCACATTGCTCAGCTTGCAAGCTTGAGCAATTCTGGAAATGCCATAATGCACCACTGAATTCCACATGTACATAGGGGCCAAGCAGGGATATTTTTACCATGCCTTAGAAGAAGAAGGAACAGTCTGTCCACAAAGGGTTTTGTCTGTGCTAATATAACTGCTGATTTGCAGCATCTACACTGGAAAACCTCTTACAACTGACATAGATGGCAATCAAAATTGTGCTTGCCTCTGCTGGCATTCTAAAGTACTGGCAAAACATGATGAAGTTTTGGGGGAAAAACAACATTTAACTCACATTCACCCCTAAAATTTACCGTTCAGCTCCAGTGTAAGTTTGAGAAGAGGGAAAAAACATTTTCAAGTTGCACACTTTGACCAGGAGAATATTCCTGCCAAAACATGACGAGGTGTAAAAATGTGTTGAAATAGAAATGGTGAGTTAATGCTATACTTGACTGCCAGGGCCAGCTCCAGGTTTGAGTGGACTCTTCATAGTGCCATCCTGTGAAGAGCGATTGACTGTTAAGTAGGGTTGTCATATTTTAAAAAGTGAAACTCTGGATAGAAAAGTTGTTTGGCAAAATTGCAAAAAAAATGACGTTTTTGAGCTATTTTTTTAATGGAAAATCAGCAAAAATGACACTGTCAACATGGGTTGCCATATGTCCAGATTTCCCTGGACAATTTACCAATTTCTGCTCGGACACTGCTTCTGACTGCAGTATTCCAGATATATCTGGGAAATTCCAGATGTATGACAACCCTACTGTTAAGCCACTCTGAGAATTGCAGCTCTGTGAGGGGAATACAGGTCTCCTAATACAGTCAAACCTCGGTTGTCGAACGTAATCCATTCTGGAAGACCGTTCGACTTCCAAAATGTTCAACAACTGAGTATCAAAGGGTGGTCGGCAAAGTCAATGAAGAAAAAACAAACACCCCCTGGAAGCTGTTTGGCTTCTGAAAAACCAAAAACCGAAGCATTTACTTCCAGGGTTTCAGTGTTCGGGAGCTGAAACATTCCAAAACGGAGGCGTTTGGGAACCGAGGTTTGACTGTAACTCTCAGTACCCTTAACAAACTACAAATCCCAGAATTCTTTGGGGAAGCCATGACTGTTTAAAGTGGTATACAAATGTCTTTTGACAGCCTGGCCACTATTTGGCATCCTCCACAATGCCTTAGATTTACTATCGTTCCAGGGTGCCACCAAGAGAGAGACAGAGACAGACAAACAGAGGGAATATTTAGATAAAATTCTGCAAAGTGGACTTTTTCCATGAGACTGAAAAAGAGAGAGAAACATTCTTAGAAAAATGTGCGCAGAGAAACTTCAGCTCGTCTCTAATGGAAACCTCATCAAGGCTCAAATCCTCCACAGCATACAAGACATAGCTACTCTTACATTTCTTGCTGCCGATTTGATAGCTGACTGAGACCTAATCACCAACAAGAAAAACAGTTTGTTCCCTCTTGGGGAAACCAGAGATGCAGCCAGTTAATTTTTCAGCTGGGGACACAATAATGCCTGTTATTTGCAGCCGGTATGGACCGCTTTGCCTCCATCTCTTCCCTGTGTTTGCGACGGCATTCTTGACATGGTCTTGAATGAAATTGCTTAGCTGTAATGTTTTATTTAAATTATCTCATGGAAGATTTCCTTATTTCCCCCTTGAGAGGACCAGAAGTAATTGAGCTTTGGCTGTATGATTTAAAATGGATTTCTGTAGCAAGGCACCTAGAAAGAGAGAGGTTTGAGTTTAGGAGGATGGCAAAAAGAGCCCTGGGAATGGGAGCTTCTGGTTCACTGTAATGATTTGTTAGATTTTGACGAATTAACCCAGCTTTCAAATGACAGCATTCACATGACAATGCTCTGCGAAACAATACTGTGCCTATAAGGAGGATGGATTATGGGCAGTTGGCTGCCCAATGAGTGATAAAAAAACCCAAACAAGCAGGAGAAAGGAAACTTGCATTTTGTTGGGTTGGTTGGGTTATTGAAATGAAAGCTTGTTGTCTTGTAATATGAGACGTTTTTCTTGCCAGAATCTCTGCCTAATTCTAACTATGCTGGAGAAACTATGGAGCATGCTCCTGAAATGGGGGTGAATCAGGGAGAAGCTGTTCCACATTCATCTGGAAGGAATTTGCTGTGGCATGCAAGCAAGCCAACTGGTATTGAATCCAGAGATTCCAGACAAATCTAAAGCCATTAGTTTGGTGCTAATAGGACATGTGGGGGCTAATTTAATAAATAGTCCATCTCTGTGAGAATGTCAGGTTTAGAAGAGGTCAGGGCTCCTGCACCTTTAGTAGCCATGTAGAAGAGAGAATTTGAGCAGGTGTAGTAAGTTACACAGCTGCTAAAGATACAGGAGCCTCACCTTCTTTTTATTTTATTTTTTTCATTTTTTTTATTGATTTTCCAAAAAATTTAAACAAACATACATCTTGACTGTACTTAATCCAATCTTAGTTACATTGTTAAGTGACTTCCTCAAATCCCCCTGGCTGAGTTTCAGTGTATATCATTGTAACAGTTTTCCAAAACCAAATTTCTCATAAAATTAACTTAACATCTTTCTTCCATTTCATTTTAACTTTAAACATATTATTCTCTAACATCACATATTTAAATCCTAAGCCTATCTGGTATTTGCAAGTTTTTCCAATTAAGTTATCTTAGCATATTTAACTAAATAGTCTTTAAATTTCATCCAATCCTTCTGGTACTCCTCCTCCTTCTGGTCACGGACTCTTCCAGTCAGGTCGGCTGGCTCCGAAAAGTCCATCATCTTCATCTGCCATTCCTCCACTGTTGGGACTTCTTGTGTTTTCCAATTCTTAGCTAACAAAATTCTAGCTGCAGTTGTGGCATACAAAAACAATCTAACATCTTTCTTGGGCAATTCCAGACCTATTATTCCAAGAAGAAAGGCCTCTGGTTTCTTAATAACCCCACCTTCTTTTTAATTTGGCAACTTTATTTCCATGTCAATCTCTGCCATTTCCAAATACAGTACGTTGTTGCTTAGCATTGCAATTCTATGCATGCGTGCTCTAAAATAAGTCCCACTGAGTTCCGTGGGAATTCTTAATGTAAGTGTGCATAAGATAGCATCCTAAATCTATTTTTGTTTCTTAGAGGCAAGAAACATGCATGCATTGTGGTATGTCTCTGAATACCAGTTGCTGGGGGGAAAGTGAGAGAGGGCTATCGATCTCATGCCCTGTTGAAATCTCAGAAAAGTTCACATAGTATACAGGGATGACCTGCTGCAATCTGTTTGCTTTGCTGATGCTCTGGGTATGTTGCTCAAAAACTATGGTCAAAAACAGTTTTCTTAGCGTTCAGATGTGTTCCTACTTTGGAACAACTTAAGTATGACAGCTAAGTGTGTGTTTTGTTTGACGAATTTACTCAAATTTGTATAATCTGTGTAATCTACTCAAAGGCCTTAGTAATGGCTTTGATGTCTCTTTTCCCTGGACAATGTATACACTCTTTCTGTGTGCCTTTAATAAGATATTGCTTGAAGCATCTCATTATCTGGTCTTTGAATCTCACAATTACACTGGAGTCAGTTGTGATTTGCTGTTGTTCCAAATATTACAACTGGCAGCTGGAGCAAAGACATACTGAGTACTGTGTTTATCCCTCTAAAATGAACAGCTTTTCTCATGGCGCTAGAAAATGTCATGGCCAAGGCTGCCAAAGGCTATAGAGAGAAACGGCTATTCTGCTATATAGCGCTTGGTTATGGACTAATCTTTCCTCCTTTGTCACTCTGCTGTGAGATTTACTTCTGAACATGCACAGGACTGGGATGTTTGAGTTATTATTTTTCAACATTTAGAATTTTCGAAGGGGAAGAATGCCCACATTTTGGAAAACCGGAGGTCTTCTTACATATTTGTTTCCAGCAATTTTGAAACCTTTCCGGGATGGGTGAAAACCAATTCTAGGGATTCGATACTGGCTCCTGGAACTGTAACATTTCCAGGAGCCCAACTTTTCTCCATAGTGTCTGGAGCTCAGATATTTGATGCCTGTGTCTGAGGATGGTTTACGTATCCAATGTTTATTTGCAAGGGAGGGGGATGGGGGGAGAAAACCGGACTGAGATGACTCCACCTCCTGTGACCTCCTGACTCCTTGGACTCAGCTAGACCTGGTAGAGGAAAAGCGATTTATATGTGTTGTATATGCGATATAACATTGTGCCACCAGAGGGCGATGTGGAGTCCCATTTTTGTCTACCTGTTTTCCCTGTTTAAATTTACAACACTTTAAATTGAAACGCTTCTTTGATGTGTCTAGATCCAGCCCTCCTCTCATTAACTGCCTTGCCCATTGCCCCAACAGCTCTGCTGGGCTGTGTACACACTTTACCAGGCATCCCCAAACTTGGCCCTCCAGATGTTTTGGGGCTACAACTCCCATGATCCCTAGCTAGCAGGACCAGTGGTCAGGGATGATGGGAATTGTAGTCCCAAAACTTCTGGAGGACCGAGTTTGGGGATGCCTGCACTATACCTTTAAAGCACAAAGCACATTCTTTCCCTCAAGGAATTCTGGGCACTGTAATTTACCCCTCACAGAGTTCTAATTCCTATCAACCCTTAACAAACTACAGTGCCCATAATTCTTTGAGTGGGGTGTTTGCAATGTACTTTAAAGGTACAGTGGGGACACTGCCCAGTGGGGAAACAGCCACCCCTGTTTCTGAGATTGTACAACAATAAGGTATCATTATGGTTATTTCCATGGGTGTAGCCAAGCAGGGGTGGGGGGCAGTTGTCCTCCCCAAATTAATGAAAATCTGAGGTCCTGCCCTCCCCAACAAAAATCCTGGCTACGCCCATGGTTATTTCTTCATTAATGATTGCCCAGTGAGATGGTACATACTGAAATCAGCATGCAGCCTGCCCCATGAAACAACAACCATATATATATATAGTATTTCTTTGAAGATACTCTAATGATTATGTTAGCTTTCAGCAAACTCCAGGAAGCTCTTATGAGCCCTTTTATGGATGCGGATGCCATTAAAATGTTCTCATTCCATTGATTTAGAGCCTGTCTTTTAATGAAAAATGCCATCTTTAACTGTCTTCTCTCTATATATATATACATACACGTACATATATATCATTATCATTGAAAAGAAAACTATGGACATATTAATGACTTATTTCCATCCTACACTGCCATCTGAAGATTAACTCTGTGAGAAACTATCATTTGTAACCATGTGCCAATGCCTGATTTAATCTTTCATGATGTCTTTTCACCTCCGCCAGGCACCTGTCGGGTCCTTATGACTGCAGGGGATGATGATTCAATAGCTCTGGATGAAGCAAGGAGTGATAACAAAGCGACTGGATATTCTGGCACTGAGGTTTGGGAATCCTATTGCAGAACATAAAACTAAGATGTGAGTAATTAAAAAATTGGGAAGGAGTGGGGAACAAGATGCAAATATTTAAAAGATTTTTGGGGGGGTGGAAGCTGAATTTTCAGGAGAACTATGAGATAACCCCATATAAAATCAGTTTTAAGGTTGTTGTTGTTTAGACGTTTAGTCGTGTCCGACTCTTCGTGACCCCATGGACCAGAGCACGCCAGGCACTTCTGTCTTCCACTGCCTCCTGCAGTTTAATCAAACACATGCTGGTAGCTTCTGGTAGAACACTATCCAACACTATCCCCTTCATGGATCACTGCCTTGCCATGGCGAAGGAGCTTGAATAACTCAGAGAAGCTATGAACTATGCCGAGCAGGGCATCCAAGATGGACAGGTCATAGTGGAGAGTTTTGACCAAACGTGATCTACCTGGAGGAGGAACCGGCAAGCCACTCCAGTATCCCTGCCAAGAAAACTCCATGGACAAAGACAACAGGCATATCAGTTTCACACCCTGCTACTAATAGTGCCATTTCTGACACTGACTTCTAGTGCTTTCGTTTCAGCATTCAGCTAGAGCTATATTCCCCTCCACCTCGCTTCACATGTCTGTGACATTTTTGCATGTCCTTTTGACATCTGATTCACAGGATATGCTGGAATACTTTTCTCAGTCGTGAGAATTATCTGCGTGATCCACTGTTAATCTGGAACTAAGTACCACTGTACTCCATTGGGCTTACTCCTAGGTGAGTGTGCATAGGATTGCAGCGGACGTGGAATACTGTGTACAATTCTGGTCATCTCAACTCCAAAAGGCATCTGTTTGACCACTGTCAGAAGAAGATGCTGGATTAGATGGGCATTGGCCTCACCTAGCAAGCGCTTCTAATGTGCTTGTAACATATATTGGCCACAGCAACTTCCATGATCTCCAGTGTTTCAATCTCTGCTGCACTGAGAGAAATACTGCAGCGACTCATCTATGACACCATGAATGCCCCAAACAGTTTCACTGGCTATTTGTTTGAGTCCATGCCAAGCAACTGACCTTTAAAGCCAAGAGAATACATCTCTCCATATAGTTCCACCTGCCCTTTAAAATCTATGTAAAATCCATGAGAATGAGCATGAAGGCCTATTCAGTGATGGCTCTGACATGTAAAGTGCCACATGAAGAAAATCTAGTCTGAGGCCAAGCCTAGAAACCATCACTGCAAACATTTGCATTTGTCTTCAGTGGGATTGTCGGATTTTGTTGTAGACATGACCTGGCTCTGATAAATTCATTTGACTGTTCTTGGTTTCTATGAACTTCATTGTTTGCATTTTGCTTTTGTGCAGCGTGAGCTTGATTATGTAACTGATTAGCATGTAAATGTACTAAACGAAATAACATCTTGAACTGTGAACATTGCATTGCTTTCGGAGTTACATTTGCAATAGCCGCTGAAAAGAAATCCACATAAAATATGCATTTGTAGACATTAAGAAAATGCACATCTTTCCCCCCAGTCCTTCACTGAGACACACCAGCTCCCATAAAGGAGTACTGCTCTAGTCATGGTTGTTTTCTAGCCCAAATAAACAGGCTGGCTATTATATTCATATAATAAAAGTCCTGGGTTCCTATTTTTACTTTTGATTAATGTTGAAGGATATGTTTGGTTTCCACATATCCTTGCAAAACAAAGCATTATCTTACTGAGATGGAAAATTATAGGGCTCTCATTGGCCTCCTTTACCAGGTCCAGGAATGGACATAATTACTTTGCCACCTAGAGCCAGTCAGCAGGAACGCAATTATCCCAACTCCAGATGCAGAGCAGTTCCAGAAACCCTGCTGAGAAAAGGCAAAGAGCCTAGTAATTAAAGTCATCATTAGATAAAGCAGAGATTACACAGCAGCTATCAAAAACTCCCAGCTCCCACAACTATCTCAGTCCCATTCAGGCGCTGGTTTCACTCCAAACTCTGCTGGATTTCACCACCTTGATGGCTGCCACCCCCAGGAGCCCTCTCTGTCTGCTTATAGTTGGATTCAGCTTTGGCACTAAATTACATTGATCCTGATCAGGCACAGGCCATGCTTCCACAGATGTACAATAAAAGTTAAAATGTTATAGGTGGAATGGGTTTTTTTGTTTTTTGTGTTTTTTAAAAAGAAGGGCTAGCCATCAATAAGGTGAGGACAGAATAACAGGTATGAAGAACAGCAGCAGAGATGCTGTGGTACTAATGGAGCCTGGGCCTACCTGAACTTGATGCTGATAATGATGATGATGATGATGATAATAATAATAATAATAATAATAATTTATACCCTGCCCATCTGGCTGGGTTTCCCCAGCCGCTCTGGGCGGCTCCCAACAGGATATTTTAAAAAAATGAAACTTCAAACATTAAAGACTTCCCTAAACAGTGTTGCCTTCAGATGTCTTCTAAAAGTCAAATAGTTATTTCCTTGACATCTGATGGGAGGACGTTCCACAGGGCAGGTGCCACTACCAAGAAGGCCCTCTGCCTGGAAAGGAAGTTTCAAATGTTGTAGAGGGCAGAATATATTCAGGTATTTGACCAAGGAATACAGTCTGCCCAGCATATATCCCTCTTGCAGCACGGCAGCAAGGCCTTTCCACAACACAATCTCTGGCTCCTCTTGCTTCAGATGCCTCCATCATCTGCAGCATGCAAGAAAGTACTGTAATCACACCAAATCAATCAATAAATGTGAAAGGGTAGACACTTGTGTTTGTAGTCCCATTTGTAACATTTTTAAAAAATAAAAAACCCGAAATTCAATTTGTAAAAATTGCCCGAATAAACTGTACTTTTAAAATACCAGACATTATAATTCTACAGCAAACCAAGTTATACATGATGCATTTTATGTCCCTAAAGTGATTTTTGATATGTAGAGTGCTAAAAATTTTTTTTCAATTTTTCTGGAAAATTTATTTTTTTCTGGAAAATCTCTGCAGTCCCATGACAACTAGCAGTTAGAGCAGAGTACTCTTCATAACACAGTTGGGTGGAGTGGAGCAAATTCCCTGTACTTCCATCTCTGGCTGATGGAACCATGATTGGGGCTCCTAATATTTGTACAATGGAACATAGGAAGGTACCCTATACCGAGTCAGACCATTAGTCCATCTAGTTCGGTATTGTCTACACTGACTGGCAGCAGGGCTGTCTTAAGCATATGCGGCACCGGGGTGCAAAGATCTGCCCAGTGCTCCCCCCTCCCAGTTGCCCAGTCCCAGGCATGCAGGAGGGCGGAGCCGCCTGCCTGCCTCAGTGTCTCATTGGCTCAGTCGCCCCCGAACTCGCAGCACAGAGCCGCCCGCAGCAGAAGAGCCCGTTGCAGTGCTCTGACTGACGGACAAGCTCTTCCCTGGACTCAACTCTCAGGCCCCGGACTCTCGGCCTGGTGCTTCTGAGAGCCCGGCGCCCAAGTGCCCCACACCCCTAGCACCTATGGGTAAGACGGTGCCGACTGGCAGCAGCTCTCCAAGATTTCAGGCAGGAGTATCTCCCAACCCTACCTGGAGATGCCAGGAATTTAACTCAGGACATTCTGCTTGCAAGGCAGACACTCAACCACCGACCTATCAGTAAACAATGATGTGAAAATAAATGGAAAATACAGAATGAGCCTGTCATACAGATTACATTCCAGGGAGCAGCTCTCTTAAGCAGCATAAAAATGATGCTCTAGTTAGTTAAAGTGATCAGTAGTAGAATAAATTGATTTAGCTCATTTATGAAAAGGAGATGCCTTGTATCTGAGCAAAACCTTCCCTGCTCCACAACCACTGATTTAATTAAAAAATCAAGAGTCATTTGGGATCTCCTCCTCTCTCTTATTCCTTTCCCATCCCTGATGGCAGTAGAATTTATTTATTTTAATGGAAAAACGTGAGAGCACTAATAGAACATTTAAAAAATGTTTTTCACCTCAGTAGCAATTAGCAATCTAGAAAGTGTTTACACCTGTGAACTTGATTTGTAAGCTGTTCCCTTTGCAGAGGTTTCCTGTAGCAAGTATCTTGAACCTTTTCATGCCCAGGACCCACTTTTAACCCAAACATAAATTTGGGGACCTAGTTCTCAAACAGTTATGGTATATTTGCATGGTGGTAGTGCTCCTTTAGCAACCATCCCCACTAGTGGGTCCCAACCCACCTGTTGAAGACCAGTACCCTATAGTATATGTTTGTGTGTGCTTGTGTGCATACATACTCACATCATATCATGTGATCTACCATTCATTCCCATCAACCACTAGGTAATACTATACAATCCAGCTTTACTTAGCACCCCATCCAAGATTAATCCCTGGTTTTGCAAAGCTGAAAGACTGCAATGTTCCATAATAACAACAACAACAACTTTTTTGTACCCCGCCCATCTGATTGGGTTGCCCCCGCCACTCTGGGTGCCTTCCAGCTTATGTAACAACATAGTAAAACATTAGACCTTAAAAAGCTTCCCTATACAGTGGAACCTCGGTTTTTGAACATCGCAGAAGCCGAACAATTCAAAATCCAAATGCCGAAAACCCGGAAGTAATTGCTTCCATTTTCGAATGCGCCTCAGAAGTCGAACGGTTTCTGAGGCACGTTTCTCCATTTTTTCAATGGATTTTGTCAACTGCCCATTGATCCTTGGTTTTCAAATGTTTCAGAAGTTGAACAGCCTTCCGGAACACATTACACATTCGAAAACCAAGGTTCCGCTGTACAGGGCTGCCTTCAGATGTTTCCTAAATTTTATATAATTACACATCTCCTTAATGTCTGATGGGAGGGCATTCCACAGGGTGGGTGCCACTACCAAGAAGGCCCTCTGCTTCGTTCCCTGTAGTTTCACTTCTCTCCGTGTGGGAACCACCAGAAGGCCCTCAGTGCTGGATCTCAGTGTTTGGGCTGAATGATAGGGTGGAGATGCTCCTTCAGGTTTACAGGTAAAGGTAAAAAAGTATACAGGTATACAGAGTCAAGGCCATTTCAGGCTTTGAAGGTCAGCACCAGCATTTCAAATTGTGCTCAGAAACGTACTGGGAGCCAATGTGGCTCCTATTCACCAGTCTAGCTGGTGCATTCTGGATTAATTGTAGTTTCTGAGCTCTCTGCCTACCCCTGGAATCTGTGTCTTTTGTTTAAGGAATGGGATAGATCTGGCTTACAAAGCCACAGAAGCTTACATTTCTTCTTTAATTCAGAAACTCAGATGTGTTGCATGCTATCTGTAGTACAGACTGCAATTTCCAACATGGAACTGTGGCTACTTCCAGATTGTCACTATTCTGGGATCACAAACTAGCAAATTCAGGTTGCAATGTTAAAGTTGGCTTAAGCTCTTGCACGACAAACCTGCTTGCCTCCCAAACTGGACTAGTGGGACTCGGGAGTAGGCAGGTGGAGTGGTAGTATTGCAAATCACATAGTGCTCTGGAGCATTTAAAACAGTGTTGGGGAAACACATCAGATGTTGTTTGATTGCACCTTCCATCATCCCTGGAGCACGGGCTGTGGTAGCTCAGCCTGGTGAGAGTTGCTGAAAGGAATCCAATAAATCTGGAGGGTCACAGGTTCACCACCCCTAATTTAATAGCACTGGCACCAAAGACCTGAAAAGTCTGCCCTGAGAAGTAATGTGTATTTTTGGTGTGCTGTTGCTATAATCATAGGGGCCATAGGCTGGTCATAGTAGGTTCAATATTAGAGGCAGTATGCCTTTGAATATAGTTGCTGGAGAGGCTATTGCACCCATGTCCTGCTTTGAGCTTTCCATGGGCATCTGGTTGACTACGGTGGGAGACAGGATGCTGGGCTAAATGGCCGGATCCTGCAGGGATCCGCCTTCATAATCTTGTCCATCCAAATGATCCAAAGGGAGGTTCTCATTCCTGTTTCACCACCACCAGTGAAAGGGAATGCATTTGGTAGCACTTTCTCTGCCATGATGCCCAGGCTTCCTGGAACTCCTTGACTGAAGATGTCCAGAGAGTCTGTTTTGTCGCCAGTCATGAAAACACAATACTATTTTGCTGAAGTTGGAAAACTAAATAATTCAATTGCTTGTTACTATACTGTTATGTCCTGCTGTGCTACTTGATGATGTTTTGAAAATGTAGATATTTTTATTATGCTGTATGTGTGTTTTTAATTAAAAATGGATTTTTTTAACAAAAATAATAATTGTTGTCAGCCACCTTGTAATTTCTTTGGAGCTGAAAGTGCAGAATCGAAAAGTTCTAAGTAGACTACTTATGCTAGGTATGCTTCCAAGGTGGAAGATGAAAAGCCAGCTGTAAAGGTTACTAGTGTAGCAGTCCTTGAAAAATGGCACCTGGCAACAGAATACTACTCAGGGGGTGGGAAGAACTGGAGTCAGATGACTAAGAGCAGCTACTACTGATTGGAAGGCTTTTGGCACAACAATTTCTGAGTCAACTGAAGAGCAAGAAGCATCAGGAGCAGCCTATCAGACAAGAAAAATGGATAGTTACAGCTGGGTGTGCCAACTTGAATAAAATATTTGGGAGGCCCAGGTAAGCCCCAGTCACATGACACAGTGCACACACACTGTTTGAATTGCAATGCCCATCAACTGGGGCGGGGGAACAACCCCCTCAAATATTTTGTTGGGGGATAAAGCTCCCTCAGCCCCTAGGCCTATGATTATAGCTGCTCCCCAGAGCCATCCTCCAACTGACCAAAAGCCATCTGCTTATCTGGATTAAGTCTCTGTGAAAAGTTCAAAAAACAGGCAGAGAAAAGGCAAATATTTCCATATCCATTCATAACAAATGCTATTAGGATTTGGATGGCTCCCCCTTCCCCTCCCACCACCACCGCAGGTTTGACAGGCAAGGTAGTTCTAAAGTTCATGTATACTATAGCCATAATTTTATAATTATGTAAGAAAACTGTTACATAAGCCGAATCACTTATTGACATAGCTTCTAAAGAGGGAATAAATTACTTTAACCTTCACAGTTACTCTTACAAATTTGAATCTAGCACTTCAGCAGATGAGCAGATGGAAGGAACTGGTGTTTTGGGCATAAATTGCCATAAACTGAGTTAGAATTGCTTCCACTGCTCACATTTCTTTAACACATAGCAACTAGCTTAGGTGGCTTTTAAAAAAGGACCCGACAAATTCACAGGACGTAAAGCTATCCATTGCTATTAGACATGAACTTCCATAGTTATCAGAGGAAGATGACGGAGCCAAAACATGGTGGAGGGCTGTTGCCTTCATGTCCACTCCTCATTGTGGGCCTCCTGGGACTGATCTGGCTGGCCACTGTGGAAAACATCAAGTTGCTCCTGTAGACGGATCCTTGACCTCAAACGGAAGCCTATCACACCGTCAGACATTGCACAAAAGCAGAGGGAATGCTTTTCCTGCTTCCCAAGAGCTCATGTTCCCCATGCAACGTGCTATCATAAAGCAAGCAGATGCCACTGCAATTTCAGACTCTTCACATGTGGCAACATAGGATATGTGTGTGTGTATAAAGTTTTTCTTCTCTACATGCATATTATGAAAATGCTGTGATGTGTGAAGTGGACCTGAACAATCTTCTGTAGTTGCATGACTTTGTGCCTTTTCATATTGCAACCACAACAAAGCGGTGGATATCGTTTCAACCTCAAGCACTTATTCCAGTAAATAACTCTGTTCCTTTTAGCACTATTTCATGCATTTGTTCAGCACGCAACTCAAAGGTCGATGTAGATCTGCTACAGTGGATCTTCCCACTAAAGGGAAGTGTCCTCTTGGTGACAGATCTCACCCAGCAGAGCCAGGGGGTGGCTTTGTTTTGCCTCAGTTAGTCAGATTTTAAAATAGATTTCTCTGCAGAAGTAGATAGGAAAGGGCATATGAGGACTCCACATTATTACCACATAGGAGGAAAAGATAGCTGAATACAGCCTCTGCCGTGCAAGTTTTCCCCAAAAATTACATCATTAAGAGTTATCTTAATTATTGTGTTGTCCAGTCAGTTCGGTTCTTGTTTTCCTATGAGTGAGCTGTTGTCACTGACAAATGTTAAATAAAGGTAGATGAGGAATTTATACTGCCTTGGGCTTCTGACTTTTTCTGAACATTTAACACTCTTCAGCATACCTTTTGGGTGGTTTACCCTTTGTGGTCCTTTCACATCTGCATACTATACACCAGTCTTCCATGCTAGGCTTCTCCTCTTTAGGAGGAGCCGGAGGCCTGGGAAGGGTCATCCTCTTATATACCTGCTGGGATTGACAAGGCATCTGACCCTCACCTGAATCTCATAGCTCTCCTGTAGCTGCCTCTGATTAGTTATCATTTAACTCTCGGGGGGGGGGGGAATAATTAGCATCACACATCATGTGCATGGAAGTTGCCAAACCAATTAACCAACTAGAAGGATTACTGTTAATAGCACCAGTTTTTCTATAACTTGATATTGCTGGATAGTTTTGATGAAAAGCATTTTTAGTTTGCTTTCTGTTACCACCCTGGTACTTTACTGTATTAGTGCCACTTTCTTTTGTATGATTCCTTGCAAACGAAGGAAAACAACTTTTCTGCTTGTATATGTTGATAATATAATTT